CCCCAAAACCCCAAAACCCCAAAACCCCTCAAAATTTTGGATTTACTGAAATTTTTATTTTAAGAACGACCAGAAGTCAGTGAAGAAGCTTGGCTCTGAAGGACTGGGAGAGGTCTGTGGGGGAGCGCTGACTGAGAGGTAGGGGCGTTTTGGGAAGAGGATTGGGAAAGTGGGGTTTAATGGGGTAGGTAGAATGTGGAAGGGGCCTGGAGGAAAGGGGGGATCCTTGAGATTTAGATTGGCTTTAGAAATGGTTTTATTAATATGGGTTATGCTGAATAAAAGATACTGAAATTCACAAAAAATATGTAAAATGTTTATTGAAGTTTTACTTAGATCACTTATTTGGTTGATTCTTTATAATATTGTCAATATAAGTCTTTGTGTAACCTATTAAATGCATAATTTAAGACTATTGATAAAGAATTTATAAAGCTTCTTACCATCAAAAGTTTCCTTATGCATTTTCTTTGCTGCAAAAAGCTATAAAATCATGCAGCCATAATACCATCACATATGCAGCTGTTGTCTTATTTGTGGAGCATCCAGTTTCATAGCAGTACAAACTTGAACAGACCAGCAAGAAGCAGAACATCAGTAGTATGACTTTAAAGGTAATATGTCTATTTTTGTTGGCTTTAAGCTAGTATTTGGGCTACCAACAGTCTCCCTTGTTTAACTGTCCTGAGCTCTATGCTTAAAAGCAACGATTTACCTTTGATCAGCAGCCGAAGAGATTAAGCGACCCTAGAGTTCTGAAGAAATACTTGAATCCATGATTTTGTTCGTCTGAATATAGAATTTTATCAAAGTGGGTTATTTCGACTTATTTTAAGAAACCAAATCTGTATTCAACTTAAAACATCTGTATTACAACTTATAGTCAATTCATCGACTATTTTATTATATAATTTTTTATATGCATGGATTCAGATAAAAGAAAGCCTCTTGAGTTACAAGATTTTAGCAGATGGCTGAAACCCATCAGATCTGGAATTTGGATATGGATTAGGGTATAGAAAGTAACAAATATACATATATTTATTGAGCTAAAGCATTTGTAACATTCTCTAAAACGCACTCCAGTACTGCAATGAGTATAATTTGTTCTATGTGAAAAATTAAGACTGATTTTTTTAATATTTAAGTACCTAATTTTTGAGTATTTTATAATTTCTACTCTTAAAATATCTAAAACCTATAGAACCCAAATAATTGTAAACCTTCATATTTCTCCTTCATCTCCCACTTAGTATAACCCCAATCTCTCTAGGCACACTTTTATGAATTTTAAATTCTGCTAAAATATCAATTTCCCCCAAAATTTCACTCAGATCTCCTATAATTTTGAGCACCTCTTTCAACTTCCTCTAATCCCTGCGGGGTTTTGGGGTTTTGGGGTTTTGGGG